CGTGCCCAGTCCCTCTGGGCATGCGCAGGAGCCCCAGTGCGCATGCCCAGAGGGGCGGGCGCGGACATGCTGCCAGTTCCTACAAACCGCCGCGTATCAACTCCTAATAAAACAGGTAGAAGAAGACAACAGCGGGGCAGGAGAGCGGGTGGTGTGAATGCACAGATGACCACTCGAAGATCACCAGTTACTGGTAAGCAACCTGTTTTTCTTCTTCGTGGTCTCTGTGCTTCACACCAATGGGAGATTAGTGAGCAGTAGCCTACCTGGAGGTGGGTTTCCCCAAGACAGAAAATACAGTACTTGTGACCGTCCGGAGGAGTCAATTTACTCCAACTTTGGCAACGATTTAAAAATCCCCACTTCTTCGATTGTTTTGTCTTCCTCTCCATAGACTGAGAGTTAAACAGTCTAAACGGCAAGAAGGGTTGGTGGTGGTGGGGGGGCAATGGCCCAAAGGCCTGAGGTAATTTTACCTCCCGACAAAAAAAAAAAAAACTCTCCTTTTTAAAAAAATACAAGAAAAAGGACAACTGAAGGAAAACTGAGAGAAAAAAACAAGAGCTAATCGCTAAAAAGCGACAAAAAACAGCGATCCAGACCTCTCGAAGAAAGGGTCTGCTCAGTGCGGCAGTAAGGAAAGAACTGGCGGGATGTCCATGCCCGCCCCTCTGGGCATGCGCACTGGGGCTCCTGCGCATGCCCAGAGGGACTGGGCACGAAAATCCTTTTTAAAGAGCTTGCTACAGCACCGGCAGATCCAGCGCAGACGCACTAGATCCCATTGGTGTGAAGCACAGAGACCACGAAGAAGATCTATGCATTTAAAGAGCCATCCCATTATCAGTATACTGTCTGAAAACACTGAAAGAGAGCCAGTTTGGTGTAGTGGTTAAGTGCGCGGACTCTAATCTGGGAGAACCGGGTTTGATTCCCCACGCCTCCACTTGCACCTGGCTGGATGACCTTGGGCAAGCCGTAGTTCTGATAAGAGCTGTCCTTGAAAAAGAGAAGTTTCTGTCAGAGCTGTCTCAGCCCGGCCTGCCTCACAGGGTGTCTGTTGTGGGGAGGGGGAGGGAAAGGAGCTTGTGAGCCGCTCTGAGACTCCTTCAGGTAGTGAAGGGCGGGGTATAAATCCAGTCTCTTCTTCTTCTTCTACCTCACAGGGTGTCTGTTGTGTGGGGAGGGGAAGGGAAAGGAGTTTGTGAGCCGCTCTGAGACTCCTTTGGGTAGTGAAGGGCGGGGTATAAATCCAGTCTCTTCTTCTTCTTCTACCTCACAGGGTGTCTGTTGTGTGGGAAGGGGAAGGGAAAGGAGTTTGTGAGCCACTCTGAGACTCCTTTGGGTAGTGAAGGTCAGGATATAAATCCAAGCTCTTCCTCTTCTAAAATTGCCAGAGTGTTCACGTGGACTAGGGTGAATTGCTTTGCTGGTTTGGAAAAGTCAGGTGTGTGTGTGTGTGTGGGGGGGATATCATCGTTTGACATTTTCTTGTCCCTCCTCAAATGTAGTAGACAAAAGGCTTTTCATTGGAGACGATGGACAGACCAAGTCCCCAAAGATCCGTCAGTGAAACTGTGCTTGCCGCCCTCCAGAGAACGCGGCATTCCCTACCTGGGCCACCTTCTTGATCAACGGTGCCTTGTGCTTCTCTATCTTCACAACATTCTCCCACTCTCAGATTCCTCCATGGTAACTTCTCTAATTAACACTAAAACTTGTTTTGTTTCTGTTTTTCAAAAAAAAAATTTGCTTCTAAAGTAAAATCCTGCCCTCTTGAAGGTCAGAGATACAGCAGCCCAGCCTCTGTGCCCAGCTCAGCAGAGGCAAATTAGATAACCAGAGGGTGACAACGTGCCTCTTTTGGATATCACTAATGTGGTTTCATTTGTCCTAACACAAAAGTGATTTCTAAGGATACACAGCAACATTAAGAGATCTAAGGGGCTTGAATGCACCACATTTTTGCGGGTACCGCTGTCAAACAAGGAAAGTGAGATCTGACTTCCCCTGGGACCATGGACAGGTAAATTTTGAGCCATTCTAGTAATCTCAAACGCACCTTTTACATACATGACCCAGAGCAAAACACAGTGCCTGAAAACAGCCAAGTTTCCAACCAACATCTGCCTGATTTGTGGACAGACAGGACAGGACACAGGGTCCTTTTCAGGACAGAACCTCTCTCCTGTCCTAGTGAAAGCAATGTGCCATGAGCCACTAGTTCCCAAACTCAGACAAAAAGGCATGCGGAGCTGATCTGACTCAAGAAAGAGCTAGACTCAGGAACAGCCCCCTCCCCAGTTGGGGAAATTGTGCTGTTTTGACTGCTAGCTTGTTTTAATTGTTCAGATTCCTCATGGCTAGAACTGTGACAACTGGGAAAATAGGAACAATTATCAGGTGAGAAGTTCAAGTGGCCCCTACGTTCAGTTAGCCACAGGCTGATATTCGTGCCCTTGGATGAGCAAGAGGGAAAAGGAAATCACTGCTCGCCTGGAACACTCATTCCATTTCAGAAGGCCTGGCAGTGGCCTTGAACGAAGCCAGTCCTGCCGTAAGAAGCAGAAACAAATACCCTGATGGTTACCAGGGGCAAAATAGCAGAAACCAAGGGGGAAAAAAACTGAACCTAACAATAAACTCCAAAACCAAACAAAGGTTAGTGAAAAGGAGGGCCAATATTAAAACCTTTCCATAAAAAATAAAAAGAGGTACATGTATTTATTAATAATAACAAATTTTAAAACATATATAGAGGCCCATTTGCAACCAATGTATATAAAATATTATATAACAATATCCAGGGCTTACAAAGTTGACCTTACGCGTTTCGGCCAAATAGGCCTTCTTCAGAGGTCATACATAAGTGGCGAGATAATTATATTTACATAAACACAATCAATAATATATACAAAGTATAAATTCAATGAGGACCATAAAGCAGATTGTTCAAAAGTAAAATCACCAGGCACAAGGTAAGTATGCACATAAGGCCTTTAAAGTGCAATCACTAGCCCAGTGATTATAAATTTGTGGTCCAAAAATGTCCTTCTTTGATTCTGTTGCCACAGCATTCATAAGTAAAAAGCAGTGTCTTTTGAACAATCTGCTTTATGGTCAACTTTGTAAGCCCTGGATATTGTTATATAATATTTTATATACATTGGTTGCAAATGGGCCTCTATATATGTTTTAAAATTTGTTATTATTAATAAATACATGTACCTCTTTTTATTTTTTATGGAAAGGTTTTAATATTGGCCCTCCTTTTCATTAACCTTTGTTTGACCAGGGGCAAAATGACACCAAGACCTCCTGAAATGATGAATGCCCGCTCCACCCAAGAAGAGAAACAAAACTTCCCGACTGGACTCATCTTTCCCAACAGATGGGCTCTGGACTTGCAGCCACAGTAAAGACTGGCTTTCTTCTCTCCCTCGCGTCCACATTTTGAGAGGTAAGCAATGAAGTCCCTCTAAGTGCAGTGATGAAGGGTAGGTACTCAGCCTGCATTTGTGCTAGAAATTTGCTTCCCCCACCCAAAAGCACTAGCAAGGGCTTGTCAAGGAGGAGAAACACATTAAAACGCTGTTTGGAGCGGCTATGACCTGCGATGCAACGATGTAAGAAATGGAGAAGACTTTGAGCCTCTTCACTCCAGGGATGCACCTGATGTGTCTAAACCTGAAGGGCTTCAACTTATGCAAGACTGGCATGACTGCAAAAGGAAAGGAAATGAGAAAAACTAGAGCTGTCTGACTGGGCCCAAAGCGGTGAAATTATGACCTTTGTGCTATACGCACAAGAAGGTACAAGATGAAAAGTTCTTGGGAACACAAATTCACACATGCCATCGCCAACTTAAGAGGGCTCTGAGAAAAGCATATTCTTTTAACCTGTCATATTCCAGAACAGCCAGGTCAGAGTCTTGCAGCAGAAGTCGAGTCCTGCGGCAGACGTGTCCTGCAGCACAAGCTTTGGAAGGTTGGCGGCTGCTCCTGGAGTATCTGACAAAGCGGCCCCCCCAACCCGCAAGGGCTCATGCCGACAACAAATCTGTGACTTTTTAGGTGGCACAAGGCTCTTGCTTAGCTTTTTAAAAAAAACCCTCTAAACTTATACGAATGCAGACCAAGTACTCTCTTCCCCTTCCGCCCCTCTGTGGCAGATTTCGGTTTCAATACAGCATCTTTATGAAATAGTTGGCTACACTGGGGGTGAGCAACCTTAGCACTGCTCCAGGCATGTGCCATCTAGACAGGACAGTACAAACAACTGCTGAACAGCCACGACAGACTGCAGAAGCAGCAGCTCCCGGGCACGGCAGCCAACGCCCCAAACCCCTGCAGAGAACGCAGAAGGGTGCGCGGGCCAAGCGGCTCTTGATAGCCCAGGGGTTCACTAACCTTTGCCATCAATTCTGCCCGGGCAAAAGACTAGATAGGACTGCAGAGACACCTGGAACTGGGTTTCGGATTATACCAATCAGTAGCCATTTAAATCCTAGCATCTGCACAAGAATGGATTTAAGGGCGGGGATGAGAATTCTTGCACCCAGAAACTCAAAAGAATTCACCCGTGCAGGAGTAGAAGAACAGAACACCCAAGAATAAGACTGGCTACGCGCTTGGTTCTGGAGCATGCACAGGCACAGGCACACACACCCACACCCCAGGCTAGCACCAGGCCCTGCCACACCATCAAGGGCCTCCTCGGTGAGGGGCACATAACATGCTCCAGTGTGCGCAGGGACACTTTAGCCCGGTTGTGGCCGAAGGAACAAGTCCAACCACCCTTCCTGACCAGCACTGCAAATCAATGCTGCTCACTCCCCCCACCCCACCCCACCCGGAGACGATCCTGCGGTGTTGCCATTTCTCTGTCCTCCACAAGTCCCCCCTCTCACTGTCTCTTCATACGAGTCTCAGAAAGATAAAAGTAAACATGCATTTGTCCGTGTTTACATACAAAAGGCTATATATATATTCCCCCCCAAATGGATCTGCAATAGCCAAAATAATAATAATAATAATAACCCCAATACACAATGTTTGTGAGAAACAATACAAATGATATAGCCACGGTTTATCGTCACTTGAACGCATTCATACCCTCAACCTACGGTTTGCCTTTGTGCCTCGGTACCTAAAGAGGGAGTCCAGCAGGATCTGTCTGAAGGCACTTTGTTATCTCCTCTCCGCTGAAAGAATGTGGCAAAGAGCGAGAGGGCGAGAGGGGCATTGGCCCGGCATGGCTGTGATCCACCCAAGGCAGGCAACGACTTGGGCAGTGGGGAAGGTCTCTCTCTCTCTCCTGCCCCCCCTCCCCCACCCCTCGGAGGACTGCTCGGCGTTCCTCGGGACGGAGCTCTCACCCACTCCGCGCTCCGGGGCATCCTCACACGCTCCTCGAGCTGTTCAGCTTGGTCAGTTCGTTGGCCTCCTCGAGACCAGCCTCCGCACAGTCCTTTTTCTCACCAAACCTATGTCGGTCGTCCAATTTCACAGGTTCTTTTGGGAGCTTCTTGAAATAGGGCAAAAACTCTGCGTTGTGGTCGTGCGCGTGGGGCGCCTTGTCCGAGTTCTGCCCAGAAGGCAGCAGGCCGGTGATCTCGTCGGTCGGAGACCTCCCGATGCTGCCGTCCACCTGGACGCGGATGTCGGGAGAGATGGACAGCTGGTGGTGGGGGACAACCCCACTGTCCGTGCACCTGGGGTACAGGTAGGTCTTCATCTGACCTTTGCCCTTCACGTTGACTGTCCCCCTGTAATCAAAGTCGTGCCCCATTTTGCTCAGGACGCGGTAGCTCTCCTCACTCACCTGCACGCGGCACTCCACCCCCGTGGTGTCCATCCGGCTGGCGATGTTCACGGTGTCCCCCCAGATGTCGTACAGCAGCTTGGTGGTGCCGATGACCCCCGCCGTCAGGGGCCCGTGGTTGAAGCCGACCCTCAGCTTGAAGTTGAACCACAGCATGTTGTTGTTGAAGTCGTCCACCACGCGCATCATCTCCTTGGCGAACTCGAAGAGGGTCTGCAGGTGCCCGTGGGGGCTGCTGCCGTCCTGGGACTGGGAGGCATTCAGGCCAGAGGCAGCCATGTAGGTGGCCCCAATGGTCTTGATCTTCTCAATGCTGCTGTAATCCGGCTTGCTCAGGAGCTCGTCGAAGTCCCCGATCAGCTCGTTCAGGACCCGGTAGCATTCCTTGCCGCCCTCGTAGTTCTCCTCGTAGAACTCGCTGAAGTTCACGATGCTGGCAAAGATCACGCCGCCGCTGTCGTGGTTTTTGGAGTAGCTCTGAGAGACCTTCAGCTGCTCGGCCACATGGTAGGGAATTATGTTCCTCAGCAGCCAGTCCGCCTGGTCCCTCATGCTCTGGATCTTCGTGCGGTGGAGGTCGGCTTCCACGTCGCCATGGTAATGGAGGCGGTAACTGACTTCGAACTCCCGGTTTAAGAACCAAACCAAGAGCAGCAGAAGGAAGAAGCCCAGAATCACCTCCTGACCAATCAGGTCCGCCGGCCTCCTGAAGTCCTTGGAGGTCGTCCTGTTGCATGGATTGTTTGGGGAACTGGAGTCGAGCAAGACAAGAAAGAGAGGGAAGCACATGTTAGTGCAGAAGCATCTCTGCACATCGTGTGTATACCGCAAGCGGGATTTTAATCTTTTATTTAAATCAAATTTCTGGACCTTTATGACCACAGCAATAAGCTCAGCAATATGTTATATGCAATCCATAAAGCACTCTCCAATGCTAGGAAGAAGAATTTTGGATATTTTGGCTTCCAAAAAGAAACCCCAGAAAATGTCTGTCCATCAAGGTACCTCCCTTTAGCCAGGGTAATGCCTCTCTTTTGAACCAAGCACGCAGATTTAGAGGTGTGCTGGCCCAGCACGAAACAGATTTTTTTAGAAAAAGGAATGTGCTTTTCCCCACCCCAAGGACCCTTTTTTCTTGACAGAAAAATCTGGAAATTTTAGAGAGCACTGAAAAAAAATTTTTTTTTACTCAAAACGTGTTACATGAAAAATCTTTATGTAAGAAAGCATACAGCATTTGATGATTCCTTAAGTATACTGTGGACATGCAATATTGTCAAGATTTTTTCCCTTTAAATGTAAACAGTTTTGGCAACACGGAATATGCCATAATGTGTTCTAATGACAATACCCTAGAAGAGTTCAACCCTTCAGCGTTGTAATTTTAATTTCATATCCAAGTATGTCCCTATTGTCACTCTATCATAGTGCTTCTCTCCAAATAACACACTAATTTTGTTCAGTACAGAGTTCATTTGCTCTCCCCCGGCTCTCGGGTGGCAGAAATTAGGATGTGTGCGATGGTCGCATAGGGGGGCTTGAAACGCCTCCTCAAGTACTGGGCATACTTGCAGTTTTTCATATAGAAAACACTATTTTATACTTCTAAATTCCACAGATATTCCAAATAGTTTTTAGTTTATATGCTACATTATCAATATTGTATTTTATGTTGTTAAATCAGCAACATAAATTTAGGTTTGATAGGAAACTATTGCATCTATTTCAATTCCTACCCCCACCCCCATGGCATCAAAAGTTCTAGAAATTTCACGTCCTTACACAGATTTTCTTGTCCATCTTTCAAAAACAACAAAACAACAATCAATTGAGCAAGAAAGGAAGGATGCAGAAATGGGCACAGTTAATCCCTAACTGCAGCTCTGTACCTGAATCAAAGTGGGCACTTTCTGTTGAAATGAAGCCCAAATGTGACATAACAGAACTCGAAGCACACGGAATCCAACAGCAGAGGAAGACGGACCGTTTCAGACAGCAGTGAGTGCATTATTCACAGAAGAGCTTTCATCAGAGCAAATCTCAAACGGCAAAACTCAGACACTTATTTCGACATAAATTACCCTGAAATCCAAGCGATCTCAGAACTGGCGAGCCAGTTTTAAGTTGGAGCTTGACAGCGTAATAAATCATTACAAGCGTAATAAATCATTGAGGCTGTGGAGAAATGCCTTGCCTCCTGGAAGGTTGGCAAGTAGGCTTTAAAAATTTCTTCCTCTGAGTGTGGGGGGGGTTTTTTTTATCTCATGGCATTCCAGAAGCACCTGAGCTACCCCTCTTCGGAAAGGCTAATGGTTCTGGCGGAAGAAACGATGGGATAAGACAGCTCATCCCCCCTTCTCCAGGGAGGAAACAGAGCGTGGAAGGTGCTGGGCTATACCTGCCCCAGAGACAATCCCCAGGAATGAGCTGGAGGTTTCCCAGAATGCCCCAGACTGCACCTGGGTGTCCCAGCGTCTGCCTGTGTGACCTGGGTGGACCAGGTCAAAAGGGGCGGAGAGAGTGATGTAAAATGGGTGGAGTCAGGGGTTTAATAAAGTGCTGGCTCCCAGAGGGAAGGCTCTCTTGGTGCTGGTCCTTGGAAGAGAACAGACCACTGAGCTCTGGTCTGCAGGCCGGGAGCCATCTTTTAACCATGCGGCTTGGCTGTCCGTCCATCTGCAGGGAACCTAAGGGTAATGGGACATCTTTAGAACATTTTGCAACCCTTTACGCTCTACATTCCCACCTTATGGTTAACATCAGCTAGGGTATGTTTACAGAAGAGGGAAAGAGGATGCGTTTACAACCTATAAAGCCCTTAATGGCCAGGGTCCAGCGTACCTAAGGGATCGCCTTTCCCCATATGTTCCCCCAAGAGCGCTACGGTCAGGGTCGCAGCACCTACTGATGGTTCCCAGCCCCAAGGACATCAAGCTGGCTGCAACCAGGGCCAGGGCTTTTTCGGCGGCGGCTCCTATCTGGTGGAACAAGCTCCCAGAACAGATTCGGGCCCTGCGGGACCTGGCGCAGTTCCGCAGGGCTTGCAAGACGCAGCTCTTTCACCAGGCCTTTGTATAGGAGCCGCCGCCACCACTGTACCACCACCGAGCTGCCATCTTTGACGGTGGACTAGATCTGGAGGTGAGCCGGCCCTGGGCAGACGCCCAGACGCCTAGGTAACCAAAGAATGCATGCTGTCAGGTTAGGTTAATGACTGAACCCATCTTGGACTGAGAAAAACATTTTAACATCAAGAGCACCGCACTTTACTTAATGATTGTTTTTATTGTGTAATGATTGTTTTATGATGTTTTAACTGTTGTTATGGCAATTGCCCTTGTTGTAGCTGCCCTGAGCCTGCTGGGGAGGGCGGGGTATAAATCGAACAAACAAACAAACAAATAAATAAATAAACAAACCAAGTTTGCGCGAGCTGATCTGTTGTGGTGATTAAGTGTGCTAGAACTTACTTGCTAATAAATCATTTTTGATATTGGATGTGGACCTTACGTTTCTGTGCCGCGTGGTCCTCCAATGGCTCAGACGGACATGCTGATTTCCCAGAGGAGCCCCCAACTGGGAGAGAAGCGGTCAACGCACTTGTTGCCAACCCACCAGGGGGAAACCCAAAGTTGCATTTGGTCCCTGTGGTAGCCAGGCGCTGAGTAGCAGGAGACTCTGAGGCCAGGCCTCAGAACTGGGAAGGGGAGTCAGGAGACGGTCCCTCCTAGCAGGAAGACCCCAACAGGACAGTGGTGGCAGCGGTGCCCTGGTGGAAGGAAGTGGAATAGCTCCCTCCATGGAGTTGGCAACCCAACGGAAGCAGCAGGCGGAACGGGGTCTTTAGGAAAAGCAGCAGGCCCGTTCCACCACAGAGGCCAAGGGTCTGCTACTGGGCTCAAGGTAACTTGAAGCTTCCTGCACCAGGGCCCACTCTCCCTCAGTTACTTGGCAGTAGGTTTGCTACGCCAGAAGGCAACGAGATCCAGAGCCTTATTTGCCCAGCTTTGGAAGCACAATCAAAATAATAATGATACAAATACATCAAACTGGGTCTTTATCAGGAGAGTTCACTGGCAGCCCCCCCAGGG